GGGGAGTGTGAAAAGATATTGTAATTATCTTGAAAATATAGTGGAATTGTTCGGAGATTGTCCCGTGGTTTTTTCCTCTACATTGGAGGTTTTTCCACGTTAAATCTTGGTGTCTTATTTCTTGCATATTTTATTTATTTATGATATTCTTAGTATGCTCTGTGGTTGCAGTTTAATCTGATCTTCCACATCAGAAAACAATTATTCCTGCTTGATTGCAAGAATTTTTTTTATTCACCATTTCACGTTGGTGTTTTAATTTACATCTTCCGCATTTGCGCATCTGAGCCCAACAAGTGGTATCAGAGACCAAGTTGGGTTCTGTATCAACCAGTGTAAATTAAATGGAGGAGAACGTGGGTACCATGATGAAGCTGACAGCAACAAATTACTCCATTCGGAAGCCAAAAATGGAGGACATACTTTTCTACAAAGATCTGTATGATCCTGTAGAAAAGGGAGATAACAAGCCAGATGACGTGAAGGATGATGATTGGAAAAAGTTACACAGGAAGGCTGTCAGTTTAATCAGACAGTGGGTGGATATCAGCATATTCCACCATGTTGCCACAGAGTCAAAAGCCCATACTCTGTGGAACAAAATTGAGCAGATGTATCAAAGGAAGACTGCACAAAATAAAGCTTTTATTATTAGAAAGCTTGTGAATTTAAAATATTGGGATGGAAGATCAGTTGCAGAACACTTGAATGAGTTTCAAGACATGGTAAACCAGCTTGTTACCATGGAGATGAAACTTGATGAAGAACTGTAGGCGCTGTTATTTTTGAGTTCTTTACCGGATAGCTGGGAGACTTTGGTGGTCTCATTGAGCAACTCTGCTCCTGAAGGAAAACTGACTTTGACCCAAGTCAAAGACAGTATGTTTAATGAAGAAACAAGAAGAAAAGATTCAGGAGCAAGCAGCTCCCAAGCCCTGGTCACAGAAACTAGGGGAAGAAGTAAAAGCAGAGGCCGGAATAACAAATCCAGAGATAAATCACAATCTCAACCCAGAAGAAAATTCAAATGTTATCACTGCGGTGAAGAGGGGCATATCAAAAGAAACTGCAAAGCCTGGAAGAACAGAGATCGGAGGAATAACAAATCAGAGAACTATGGAAATACCGCAACCCCTGTGATCAAAGGGGAAGTGGTGTTGCTCTCTGTTGAAGAAGAAGAGTGTCATGTTGCAGATTCATGTGTTGAATGGGTCATTGACTCGGCCGCATCTTACCATGCCACCTCTCACAAGGAATTCTTTTCTCTATACAAAGAAGGAGACTTTGGTAGAGTAAAGATGGGCAACGACAGCATTGCAAATATTGTGGGAGTTGGTGATGTGTGCATTCAAACTGATATTGGGTGCACAATAACACTGAAGGACGTGCGACATGTACCTGACTTACGTCTGAATCTGATCTCTGTGCATGCATTGGATCTAGCAGGCTACACTAACAATTTTGATAGCGGCACATGGAGGCTTACCAAAGGATCATTGTTAGCTGCTAAAGGTACAGTGAGATCGACACTGTACAGAACTCAAGTGAAGTTGATCAAGGGTGGCCTGAATGCAGTCGAAGATGATGCTTCGCCAAATTTGTGGCACAAAAGACTGGCTCATATTGGTGAAAAAGGATTGCAAATTTTGGCAAGAAAGTCCCTCATCCCGTTTGCCAGAGATTCAAAACTAAATCCTTGTGATCATTGTCTCTTTGGAAGCATCATAGAGTGTCTTTCAGCAAAACCTCGAAGCTAAAAGAGAATGTGTTGGAGATGGTGTATTCTGATGTATGTGGACCCATGGAAGAGGAGAGTCTCGGTGGTAGCAAATATTTCGTGACGTTTATTGATGATGCTTCACGAAAATTGTGGGTGTATTTCTTGAAAACGAAGGACGAAGTTTTTCAGTACTTCAAAAGGTTTCACGCTATGGTGGAGAGACAAACTGGTAAACCATTGAAGTGTCTTCGCTCAGATAATGGAGGGGAATATACTTCCCATGAATTCAAGAATTATTGTGCTGCTCATGGAATCAGACATGAGAAGACTAGACCTGGAACCCCACAACATAATGGTGTGGCTGAAAGAATCAATAGAACCATTATGGAGAAAGTGAGGTGTATGTTAAGAATGACTAAGTTACATAAGCCATTCTGGGGTGAAGCTGTTCTAACGGCGTGCTACCTGATCAACCGATCTCCATCTGTTCCTTTGGGCTTTGATATCCCTGAGAGAGTATGGTCTGGACATGATGTTAAATACTCTCATTTGAAGGTGTTTGGATGCAAAGCTTTTGCTCACGTAAGCAAGGAACAGAGACGAAAACTTGATGATAGAGCCATTCCTTGTATATTTCCGGGCTATGGAGATGAGGAATTTGGCTACAGGTTATGGGATCCAGAAAAATAAAAAATTGTCAGAAGTAGAGATGTAGTATTCCATGAACAAGAAACTATGTCTGATTCTGCTTCACCAAAAATCAGAGAACCAGGTGGTAAGGTGGACCTTTCACCTGTTCAACCTCCTAGAGATGCCACAGTAGGGGGAGAGTGTGATGGAGAACTCAGGGTTGATGATGAACCAGCAATTGAAGATGGTGATGATGAAGGTATCGAGCAAGAAGACCTCGAAGCTCCGCCTCAGCTCAGAAGATCAAATCGAGAGATCCAACCATCTACGAGGTACCCTAGTTCCACGTATATTACCATCACTGAAGAGGGGGAGCCAGAAAGCTTTGAAGAAGTACAAACTCATAAGGATAAATCCCAGTGGATGAAAGCTATGCAAGAAGAAATGGATTCACTGGTGAAAAATGAAACTTATGAGCTTGTGAAGCTTCCAGAAGTCAGAAAAGCCTTGAAAAACAAATGGGTGTTCAAGCTTAAGAAAGATGGTGACAAGCTGTTGAAGTACAAGGCTCGGTTAGTCGTGAAAGGATTTGGACAAAAGCGAGGGATAGATTTTGATGAAATCTTCTCACCGGTTGTAAAGATGAGCTCTATTCAAGTAATACTCAGACTTGTGGCTAGCTTGGATCTGGAGCTTGAACAACTAGATGTGAAGACTGCATTTCTTCATGGAGACCTAGATGAAGAAATCTATATGAAGCAACCAGAAGGATTTGAGAAGACTGGAAAGGAGCACATGGTTTACAGATTGAAGAAGAGCTTGTATGGATTGAAACAAGCTCCACGACAGTGGTACAAGAAATTTGACTCGTTTATGGCGAGCCATGGATATACCAAGACTGATGCAGATCACTGTGTGTTCGTTAAGAAATTTCCAAGTGTTAAATTCATTATCCTTTTGTTATATGTAGATGATATGTTGATTGTGGGACAAGACATGAAGCTGATTGTTGATTTGAAGAAGGATTTAGCAAAGTCCTTTGAAATGAAGGATCTAGGCCCTGCGAAACAAATTTTGGGCATGCAGATCATGCGAAACCGAAAATCGAGGAGATTATGGTTATCGCAAGAACGGTATGTAAATCGGATTCTGGAGAGATTCAACATGAAAACGGCTAAGCCAGTCAATACGCCGTTGGCCAATCACTTCAAGCTTAGCAAACGAAGTTGTTCTACAAGCCTAGAAGAAAAAAAAGCTATGGCGGCTGTTCCATACTCCTCGGCAGTCGGAAGTTTGATGTATGCCATGGTTTGTACTAGACCAGATATCGCTCACGCGGTTGGAGTTGTTAGCAGGTATCTTTCCAGTCCTGGTAAGGATCACTGGGAACCTGTGAAGTGGATCTTGAGGTACCTAAAAGGTAGTGCAAATAAATGCTTGAGCTTCGGTAAAGGAAACCCAGTTCTTGAGGGTTATACAGATGCGGATATGGCTGGTGACCTGGATAGTAGAAAATCTACTTCAGGGCTTGTGTTTACATTTACAGGAGGAGCTGTATATTGGCAATCTAAATTGCAGAAATCTGTTGCCTTGTCGACTACTGAAGCCGAGTATATTGCACTGGCAGAAGCAGGAAAAGAAATGCTTTGGTTGAAGAGGTTTCTTCAACAATTGGGAATGAAGCAGGAAAGGTACGATATCCATTGCGATAGTCAGAGCGCATTGGATTTAAGTAAGAATGCGATGTACCACTCTCGCACGAAGCACATTGATGTCAGATATCACTGGCTACGTCAAGCAGTGGAAGAACAACAGTTCAAACTGGAAAAGATTCACACTGACGAAAATCCTGCTGACATGATGACGAAAGTTGTAACAGGAGGAAAGAATTCAGCTTTGTGCCGAGATGATCGGCATGGAATGCATGTGAAGATTTGCAGTATATTACCCTTTGGCTGGAGGGGGAGAATTGTGGGATCCAGCCAAGTAGTCAACAATAAAAGCCAAAGCAACGGGTGAAAAAAAAAAAAAAGAAAGAAAGAAAGAGGAAGGTGCCAGCCGAATTTTTTTTTCTTTTGTTCACACATGCTTTTCAGTACTATAAATAGAAGGGTCTTCAGCAAAAGAAGATGCACCAAAGAGCGAGAGAAGAATAAGAGAGCAGAAATAACATCTAGTTTCTGCGAGTGTTATTTTTCAGTGAGAGAAAAATAGAGTGTTTGAGTAAATCCTTTGAGTGTGGGAAAAATACACCGGGTCGGGTATCATCTCTATTACTCCTTGTTTGTAATATCTAAAATAGGAGTGAGGTCTCACTGGGTCACTATATTTTACATTTCTAGTGTAGGGGAGTGTGAAAAGATATTGTAATTATCTTGAAAATATAGTGGAATTGTTCGGAAATTGTCCCATGGTTTTTACCTCTACATTGGAGGTTTTTTCACGTTAAATCTTGGTGTCTTATTTCTTGCATATTTTATTTATTTGGGATATTCTTAATATGCTCTGTGGTTGCAGTTTAATCTGATCTTCCACATCAGAAAACAATTATTCCTGCTTGATTGCAAGAATTTTTTGAATTTTTTTTATTCACCATTTTACATTGGTGTTTTAATTTACATTTTTCGCATTTGCGCATTCTGAGCCCAACAAATCAAACCAATTAATTGGAAAAGCCGAGTCTAAATCTCCCTTCCCTTCCCTTCCCTTGCCTTGTAATATACTTCACCATCACCATCTTACCGAGCTTCTGATTGATCTTCACCTTTCACCCTACACTCCCATTTCCTATTATATCTTAAACCTTACCAACAACCTCACGACCGAGCTTTTCTTGATTCTCACCATTCATATGCTGCTCTATTCCATTCCCAAACACCCCCTACTTGGAATCTCTCAAAACTCGACTGCAATTAGATGGTGGAGCCATCAACGCCCACAACGAACCCTTCGTGCTGCTGGTGGAGATGGTACTCGTTGCTGTACGCCGCCAACCACCACCACCGCCGTTGGATCCCCTTCCCCGCCACTTTCTTCTCAACGCATAGGACCCTTCTCACTGCCATTTTCCTGGCCTTCTTCTTCACCGTATTTTATTGGCAGAAGGAAGCCACCGCTGGTGGGCTGTTGATTTTCCGGCGGAATTTTCCGTCCCGGCAGTTCCCAAAGCTGAGGCCCATCGCTTTTAACTTGACGGACTTTGGAGGTGTTGGCGATGGTCTCACCCTTAATACGGCGGCATTTGAGCGGGCGGTGGTGGCGATCTCCAAGCTGGGGAAAAAGGGTGGCGGACAGCTCAATGTTCCACCTGGAAATTGGCTTACGGCGCCGTTTAATCTGACTAGTCACATGACTCTCTTCCTCGCTGAGGGTGCTGTTATTCTCGGCATTGATGTGAGATCTTCTTTGATTTCTCATTTTTATGTGCTGCAATCTTTTTTTTCTTTATCTTTTATTTCGTTCTGGGTGAATATTTGAATTTTGGTTGTTCTAGGATGAATATTCCTCACTTGGGTTAGATTTGAAACTTGGAATATGATTTGGTTAGTTTCGTAGAAATCATAGAGAACTGCAGACTTTGATTGATTTACATCCATTCCTATTACGATAACATTTCAGGATTGAATCTCTTTAGTTTGATTAACTTTAAAAGATAAGTTTGGCATATCTAACTGTGCATTTTGGTTTTGAGGTGACTTTATTTGGGGAAAATAAAAACAGTATGGAAGCTTATGTTTTGTATATGTATGAAGTCTTAGATAAAAAATTTTGAGCTTGTATTTACTATCTGAAAAATGGAAACTTTAAGGATTTGTATAAACATAATTCAACATTCTTGTTATTGTTAATGGACAATTAAGTGCGAACAGAGTTTTGTTGCATACCAAAAAAGGGACGTGCACGTGTTATTTGTTTATGCTTTCAAAGAAGCGTTAGTTCAATTTCTTTTTCAATTTCATCTTCTACTGTCGTCTATTTCCTCGGACTTGAGACGGCTTCATTGTACACGTTTATCAATAGACAAAAGTGCAATACAGTTGTCTTGTGAATTGGCTTGAAACAAATGGCCCAACTGAATTTCCCCAGATCATAGAAGCCACTCCAAACAGTACATAGAAGCCACTCCAAACAGTACCCTTGCTAACATATTTTCCTTAAGCCTTATGAAGTGCAATGTAGTGTTCATTGGATATTTTTGAGAACATCATATTTTTTCACCATCAAGAAAAAACTACTTATGGTTGCATAATGTCATCAACCATATTTCCCTTATGATATTATCATAGTTAATGTTATCGCTGTCCTTTTTCGTTAGGATGAGAAGTATTGGCCTCTCATGCCTCCATTGCCTTCTTATGGCTATGGGAGAGAGCATCCTGGTCCACGATACGGAAGTTTGATCCATGGCCAACATCTCAAAGATGTTGTTATTACAGGTTCGCATTTTAGTCCCTGGCTTTCTGTGCTTTGTTCTTGCATATAGAAAAATGCATTGGGCTGGTTTGGCAAATGCCTAAATGGTGTTTTGAAAAAAACAATCGGCTGTTTTTTGCCATTAGCAATTTTGACCTGGCCAATCCGCCTAGAAGAGGTTATTAAGCCTTTTTATTTACTTATATTTTGGCCAAACCGCCAAAAAATGCCACATCAGCGTTTTCACCATTTGTGATTAAAATGCCAAATGATGGAACGAGTTTAATGATTTGGCAATATAGAGCACCATTTGCTTAAGCATGTGAAATGTCGAGAAACATTTATTGCTGACCTAAAATGGAATTAAGGTCTAATTCGACTTCTTCACTTATTGCTATTCGTTGAATTGTTCAATATGCTTTCAGTTGAAGTATATATATATATATATATATATATATATATCTGCTCTACACAGTACCTTTCTTGCCAAAGGAAATCCAGTATGAAAAACTAATTTTCAGTTATATAAAAAAGCCTTTCATACCATTAACTTACTAGAAGCTATTATGGATAAAAAAATGTACTGAATATGTGCTTTTCATTCGTTGAAATAGGGCATAATGGCACCATTAATGGCCAGGGTCAAACGTGGTGGAGAAAATATAAACAGAAGCTTCTTAACCACACGAGAGGACCACTTGTGCAGATCATGTGGTCCACTGACATTGTGGTATCTAACATAACATTACGCGATTCTCCTTTTTGGACTCTTCACCCGTATGACTGCAGAAATGTGAGGCTGAAGAATTTAACTATCCTTGCACCCGTTTATCAAGCTCCGAATACTGATGGCATAGATCCTGGTAAGTTTCTTCTTTTGTTTTATGTTATTTTGATTCTGAGTGAACAATAGTGCTGCACTTAATTTTTTTATATTATAATGTTTGGGAAATTGAATTCGATTGGGACCCTCATTGAATAAGCTGATTTTTTTTATTCTTTTTTCTTTAGGATTGATTAGGGAATTGGTGAAAGAGAATATCTGATAACCTTGAGATGGTGTTTACGGGGAACCTTACAGAAGTATGTCCAAGTGTGATTTGCGACTAGCCAGTCGTAGAACCTTTGGGATTAAAATTCTAAAAGATGCATAAGTACTATCCATCATAGATAGGTTCGAATTTAATTCCTAGGAGAGTGTATGGGCTTCCGGAGCTGAAGATTGCATGGGAAATTTCTTGGAAAGCATGAGCATGTGAGCATGGGCTTTTGCCTCTTAAAAAAAAATAAAAAATGAAAAAATAAGAATGATAGTACTAGAAGAATTATAAAAAAAAAAAAGGAAAGTCCATACAGTAGTGTAGTAAGGTTTTTATTCAACTTATTGTGGAAGATTAATGATGCAACAATTATGCTACTTTACCTCTTAATATATTCCCCCTCCCTCTTCCGATTCTATACCTCTTACTGATGGGGTTTGAACAATTTAAGTCAACCATAAATTAATCAAAGTGAATAAATCTTGGCCATTGGCAGTCGATGTTATTCAAATTTTGCAGTTTGTGCTGCTCGTCACCTTTTCCTAGACTATCTAAACAAACCTAATCGACTCTGAAATTAAACAGATTCATGCGAGGACATGGTGATTGAGGACTGCTACATAAGCGTTGGGGACGATTGTGTCGCAATCAAGAGCGGGTGGGACCAATACGGCATTGCCTACGGACGCCCCTCTAAAAACATTCTCCTCCGCAACCTCATCGTCCGCTCCAATGTCAGGTAAAACTCAAAAACAGATTTTTTTCATTTTCTCTTTTGGCAAATTTACATATTAATATACCACCTTTCACCTTTTTGCAATTTAATCACACATTTGAAATTTTGCAAATTAATACACTACCTTTACCATTTTCGCAAATCGATACATGAATGACGGTTTCGTTGACAAAAATGTAACAAAAATCTGACATAGCATCAGATTTCTGTTAACGGAACCGTCATTCATGTATCGATTTGCAAAAATGGTAAAGGTGGTGTATTAATTTGCAAAATTTCAAAGGTGGTGATTAAATTGCAAATAGTGGTGTATTTATATGCAATTTTGCCTTCTTCTTTTTCACATCCCATTGATTGATTATTAAAAAAAAAAAACAAACACGCATGTTTTTTTCAGCGCGGGCATATCGATCGGCAGCGAGATGTCGGGAGGCGTTTCGAACATCACGATCGAGAACATTCACGTGTGGGGGTCGAGGCGAGCTGTCCGGATCAAGACGGCCCCCGGCAGAGGCGGATACGTCTCGGATATCACGTACCGCAACCTCACGTTAGACGGTGTGCGGGTCGGGATTGTGGTGAAGACGGACTACAACGAGCACCCGGACGGGGGCTACGACCCCCGGGCCTTCCCTGTACTAGCTAATATCAGCTACGAGACGGTGCACGGCGAAAATGTCCGTGTGCCCGTTCGAATCCAGGGGAGTGAGGAGATTCCCGTCGCCAATGTCACTTTTCGGGACATGTCGGTTGGGATAACGAGTAAGAAGAAGAATGTGTTCCAGTGTGCCTTTGTGCGGGGACGAGTGGTGGGGACTATTTATCCTCCGCCGTGCGAGAATCTCGATTTGTATGATGAGCGGGGGAGTTTGGTGAGGGGATCTGAATCGTGGAATAGCTCGGATATTGATTACGATGTTTGAGAC